AGGTCTTCCAGACAGAAAATCCAACAAGGAGACAGGAACCTTAAATGACACTAGATCAAATGGGTTTAATTGATATCATCAGAGCATTTCACCTCAAAGCAGCAGAATATACCTTCTTTCCAAGTGCACATGGAATATTTTCTAGGAAAGACCACATGTTAGGACACAAACAAGTCTCAATAAATTTATGAAGATTTAAATCATATCAAGCATCTTCTCTGAGCATAATGCTATGAAAATAGAAATCAATCACAAGAAGAAAACTGAAATATACAGAAAGGCATGGAAGCTACATAACATGCAATTAAACAATGAATGGATCAACAGTGAGATCAAGGAAGATATCAAAAGATAACTTGAAACAAATGAAAATAAGAACACAATGAAACCCAAATCTGACATACAGGGAAAGCAGTCCTATGAGGGAAATACATAGCATTACAGGCTTACTTTAAGAAACAAGAAAAGCTCAAATAAACAATTTAACTTTATACTTAAAGGAACTTGAAAAAGAACAAGAAACAAAGCCTAAAGTGAATAAAAGGAAGGGAATAATAAAGATCAGAGCAGAAATAAATGAAATTTAGTAAAAAAAAAAAAAAATGCAAAAGATCGATGAATCCAAGAGCTGGTTCTTTGAAAAGATAAACAAGATTGATAAACATTTAACTGACTAACCAAGGAAAAAAGAGAGAGGGCTCAAATAAATAAAATCTGAAATGGAAGAGGAAAAAGAACAACTATTTGCCAACAAATTGGACAACCTGGACGAAATGGATAAAGTCCTAGAAACTAAGTCAAGAAGAATCAGAGACTTTGAATAGACAGATTATACCTAGTGAAATTGAGGCAGTAATCAAAAAACTCCCAACAACAACAACAAAAAAGCCCTGGGCTGGATGGCTTCAGAGATGAATTTTACCAAACATTTGAGAAGCACTAACACCTATCCTCAAACAACTCCAAAAAGTTGAAAAGGAGGGAAGACTCTCAAGCTCATTCTGTGATGCTAGCATTATCCTAATTCCAAAACCAGATAAAGACACTACAATAAAAAGAAAATTTAGGCCAATATGCCTAATGAACATAGATGCTAAAATCCTCAACAAAATATTAGCAAAACAGCAATACATCAAAAAGATCATACTCCATGATCAAGTGGGATTTATTCTGGGATGCAAGATTGGTACAACATTCGCAATCAATAAATGTGATACACCACATAAACAAAATGAAGTATAGAAACCATATAATCATATCAATAGACACAGAAAAAGCAAGAAATAGACAAAATTCAGCACCCATTTATAATAAAAACTCTCAGCATAGTGGGAACATACCTCAACATGATAAAAGCCATTTACGACAGACCCACTGGCAGCATCATACTCAGTGGGCAAAAACTACAAGTGTTTCTCTTAAGATGGAGGCCAAGGCAGGAATGTACACTTTCACCTCTCTTATTCAATGTAATACTGAAAGTTTTAAACACAGCAATCAGACATGAAGAAGAAGAAAAAGACATCCACATTGGAAAGGAAGAAGTAAATGTGTCATTATTTGCAGATAACATGGTACTGTACATAGAGAACTCTAAAGTATCCACCCTGAAACTACTAGAACTGATAAATGAATTCAATAAAGTAGCAAGATAAAAAATTAATATCCAGAAATTAGTTGCATTTTTATATGCCAATAATGAACTATCAGAAAGGGAAATTAGGGAAACTCCCCATTTACAACTGCTTCAAAAAGATAAAATACCTAGGAATAAATTAATCAAGGATGTAAAAGACCTGTACTCAGAAAATTAGAAGACACTGAAGAAAGAAACTGGAGAAGATACAACTAAGTGGAAGCACATAACTGTGTTCATGGATAAGAACAATTAACATCATTAAAATGTCCTTACTACCCAAGTAATCTATAGATTCAGTACAATTCCTATCAAGAGTCCAATAACACATTTCACATAACTAAAACAAATATTTCAAAAATTTGTATGGAACCACAAAAGATCTCTCTAATAGCAACAGCAATCTTGAGAAAGAACTAAGTTGAAGGAATCATGCTAATATCAAACTATACTATCAGGCCACAGTAATCAAAACAACATGGTACTGGCACAAAAACAAACACATAGATCAATGGAACAAATAGAGAGCCCAGAAATAAACCCATGCCTTTATAGTCAATTAATATTTGACAGAAGAAGCAAGCACATACAATGGGCTAAAAATAATTTATTCAATTAATGATTTTGGGAAGATTAAATGGATATGTGCAGAAAAATGAAGCTAGACCGCCTTCTTACACCACACACAAGGATAAATTAAAAATGGATTAAAGGTGTAAATGTTAGACTTGACACATAAAAATCCTAGAAGAAAACATAAGCAATAAAATCTCAGACTTTGCTTGTAGTAATGTTTTTTTCTAATATGTCCCCTCAAGCAAGGGAAATGAAAAAATAAACAAATGGGACTATATCAAACAAAAGTTTTTGCACAGCAAAGGAGACCATCAACAAAATTAAAAGACAACCCACGGAATGGGAGAACATATTCACCAATATATCTGATAAGGAGTTAATAACCAAATTTTATAAAGAAATAATACAACTCAGCATCAAAAAAAAATCCAATTTAAAAAAGTGCAAAGGTCCTGAATAGAAACTTCTCCAAAGAAGACATACAAATCGCTAATAAGCCAATGAAAAGATGCTCAACATCACTAATCATCAGAGAAATGCAAACTAAAACTGCAATGAGATATCACCTCACACTTGTCAGAATGGCTGTCATCAGTAAATCAACAAACAAGTGCCAGCAAGGATGTGGAGGAAGGGGAACCCTCATGCACTGTTGCTAGGAATGCAGATTGGTGCAACCAGTGTGGAAAGCAGTATGGAGATACCTCCAAAAAATTAAAAAGAACTGACTTATGACCCAGTGATTCCACTTCTGGGAATTTATCTGAAGAAACCTGAAACACTAATTCAAAAGAATACAAGCATCCCTATATTCACTGCAACGTTATATACAACCGCCAAGATTTGGAAACAGCCCAAGTGTCCATCAGTAGATGAGTGGATAAAACAGCTGTGGTACATTTACACAACGGAATTCTACTTGGCTGTAAAACAGAAGAAAATTTTACTCATTGCAACAATATGGGTGGCCCTGGAGAACATTATGCTAAGTGAAATAAGCCAGTCAAAGAAAGACAAATGCCAAATGATTTCACTCATATGTGGAATCTAATGAACAAACTGAACTAACAGGCAAAACAGAGAGACTCAGAGAGAGCAGGATGCCAGCTTTAGGGATAGACGGCTTTGGAGGGTGTGGAGAAATGGAGCAAAAAAGAAAAAGGCATGAACATGGACAGCATTGTGGGGATTGCAGGGGAGAGGGGGTGGGTGGAGGTAGCAGAGGGTATAAGGGGGTAAATGGTAATGGAAAAAATACAATCAAAAAAGCATACAAATCAGGAACTTTATAAGAGAGATTTCTAGGACCAAACTAATCCAAAAGTAACTAGATTAAATGTCTGCCATAAAACTATTTTTCTTTCCTTCCCAGGTTTACCTCCATTTCTCAGTGTGAGACTTTTCATCATTAAGATGAGTTGAGTATAGATTTCAATTAACGTTCTTCCTAAGTGATAAGGATGTAGACTTAGCAGGACAAGACTAATCATCTTAGCATTATACTGCGGGTCCCATAGGTAAGGTTCAGCGAGCCTTTCCATACTGTTGGTTCTTTGAAACTTTTTGACCATTTCTTTCTGCTGATTAAGACTCCAGGGTATTTCTGGCTGAGAGAGTGTATAATGGACTTTAAGCACACAGGGAATGTAGGCATTTTATTTAAACTTGGTTGCTATTCATACATCTCTTTTGATTATCCAATTTTAATAACGATCAACCCTGGAAATCTCAGGTTAGAGCTATAACTTTAATAATTTTTGTCCAAGTGGGACTAAACAAGATTTAGATAAAAATCTTTTAGTATTTTGCATTTAAACTAATCTGTTAACTTAATATTTTTTCATGTGTTTTTCACATTAGTTTATCGGACATACATAAGCATAATTCAGAAATTATTTCATTATAACTTATTTAATTGTCGAAGAGTGGTGAGCACTATTCAACATTAAAAGTTGTCAATTTTAAAAAGTTAATTTCTCGGCCTCTTTATATACTTTTTAGGTCTCACATGAAAAGAAATAGATATTAAACTTCTGGTGAGCAGAGGATGAATCTCAGTATTCCAAAAATTATGGATTGGGGATAATGTTCTAACACAGCCCTATCACTCAGCATTCATATTACATTAAGACACCACCTTAAGACTGAGCCCTACAACATAGGTTTGTATAGAAGTAGTGAAATAATCACTATTTCCAGTCAAGGGAAAAAAGAGGACATTGAGTTTGATTAATAACCATCTAGATGTTTAACTATCATTACGTCAGTGCTTGTGTCTTGACTATACCTTCAGAAATCCAAAGTCCTTATACAGCTTGTATGATTTACTCTGGAATCGGAGTCTGTTTTACAATGACGAGGCAAGTCTATTTGGAAAACACTATGTCACTCCCTTTCTAAACGAGTCATTTAATTTGTAGTTCCTCACTTAGAAAGCACATTGGGCTACTTTTCAAAAAATAAATTATGTGTATTAATAGTATACAGGTTGGTTCAGGTTTAAAGAAAGCCTGATATAGATGAAAATGGGAGTCTTCAAAAATTATTGATTAGGGGATGATTATTTACATGTTTGAATAGCATAATACCCAAATCCCTTTTTGAAGACATTTGCCCAGAGTTATAAATTTAGGTTACACATAATTTTAGGAACACTTCTGTAAGGATTAAGCTTCATAATGCTCTTGGGTGAGAATGCTGAATTTTATTAAGTGAATACCAGTGTGCTAAGAAGTAATCTTGTGCAGAAATTGGGATTTATTAACTGCTCTTTCTCTCTTTTTGCCAGATTTAGAAATGGCTGTTGCATATTGGAATTTAGTATTATCTGGAAGGTTTAAGTTTTTAGATCTGTGGAACACCTTTTTATTGGTAAGTGTCCTCCTGCTTCTCGCCATGTGTACCCGGGGTGAAGGGGGGTCAGCAGGTTATGTGGCTGGACATTTTATCCAACCGAAGGAGTCGGCAAGCTGCCATGCAGCTTTGCCACCTAGAGCGCCGCAGACTTCAGGTAGTTGCAGGCAGGGCTGCTCCAAGGCTGACTTCCAAAGTGGCTCCTCCTAGGCTGGGGCTTCAGACGACGGATTGGAACGTTGTCCAGTGGAACCCTGCCGCTGCGTGTGGGTGCATAGTCTGATACCATTTTAAAATGTATTTTATGATGTCTAGAAGGAAAGGAGGTCATAGCTGGCCCCTTTAAGAGAGAGTTCACTTGTGCTGGAGGCATACACTCCAGTCATGCTGGGCCTTCTTCATGAGACGGCTCCTTGCAGCATGAAATAAAGGAAGCCGGAGTAGTTATGGTCTATCTGAAGTGCATGGAGTACAAGGATACATCCTGACTCCAAATTAGACCGTTGTGATATGAGCTGTGCCAGATCTCCCTTGTCAGTTCAGTCCATGAATGAGAAGGGAACCCTGACCTGACTGAGGACAAGCCCCTTCACTGAGGGCAGCTGTGTTTTAAGACCACCCTTGAAGAAGCGTGGTAACGCCTACACTCAGTTTAGTCACAACAGGTCACGTTTACTGTTTCACCACTGAGTAGTTTTGTGGTCAGTAACCTCCACTGCAGACATTCCCCAGGGAACCTGCGCACAAGTGCACAGTGACAGTGTTCTCACATCGTTGTAACAGCAACACTGGGAACAACCTGTGTCCATCAACAGCAGAGTGGAGAGAAACTCAGAGTATAACTGCAGCAGCGTACAGCCAGCCGAAGAAAATGAAAATGAAGCAATTTAGATTTGCACTCACCAGGCTGCATACATTTCAAATGTGTTGAATGGAACAAAAACAAGTTGCAGAAGACTACATAAGATTTGATAGTAGTTACATAAGTATTTTTAAATGTAAGACAAGCTTGTAGGTTGTTTGTGAATATAAATACATGTACACTATGCACAAAGGCATACCTGCTAATCAGGAAGATGAGTACCTCTGTAAGAAGAAGGGAGAGACGAGCGGGTGCTGCAGGTTTGCTTCTGCAGCTGGATGGTGGACAGTAGAACAGAGGTGTTAAATTCTTTTAGGTTTATCTTAAATATTGAATAATGAAGATATATATAGAAAATTGTCCCAATATACTGCAAAAACTACCTGGTATATAGAAAAATTAATATATCGAAAGACAACTTGCCTATTGCCCTGAATTGTTTCTTAAACTGGTTTGGGATTCAGTAAAGAGATTAAAAATGCTGCCCTTGTATTTGACTAAAACAGAAGTTTATCATCTTTTTATTTTACATGTTTTGTTTTTAAATAAATTTCGTTTCTATATTTATCCATTGGCATTATGTAGCTCTTAACATTTATCCAAAGCACTGTTTTTAACTTTTAACAATTTTCTTATATTTATTCCTCATCAAATTATGTACTGAGATAATTAGATTTCTAGAACACCTGAGAGTTACATCGCTATCTTAAATCTGGTGGTTTTTTTCCCTCTTATGTATTAGGAACATCACAAAAGATCAATCCCAAGGGACACTTGGAACCTTCTGCTAGATTTTGGAAATATGATTGCAGATGATATGTCTAACTATGACGAAGAAGGTACGAGAAGTGGAAGTTGTAGTACTCCCGATGAGCACCGGAAATGCCGATTCGTGTGCTAACTTTCCCTGCCCCCGGAGCGCAGGACAGTGATGATGACACAGACACTGGGTCAAACGGGCCTAGAGCGCAGGACAGCGATGATAGACACAGTGCTGGGGTCAGATGGGACGCAGTTCACTCCCGGCCCTACCCCACTGGTGAAACGGAGGTGATGATGATAGTAATAGTATTCACTTCCTTATGTCTTATAAATCACACAAAACATAGTGCTTCTTATCTATTTAACTCAAGAAGACAATTCTCTACACTAAAGCATTTAAAAAATGGGCATGCAGAGAGCCTCATAGCAAAACCAAAGAACTAGAGAGGAGTTTGGAAAAGGCTTCTGCAAGTGCCTAATCCCGCTTGGTGTCTCAGGCTGTTAGGCTGTTGAAGCTTATTGGATGATTCTAGCTTGCCTTTACTTACATGGGCATTATCACACATTTAGCCGCCCCTCCTGCCGAATATTTCAGGACACTCCTTCAGGGAACGTTTGAGCGCCTGCTATGCAGTGGGCGCTTTGCTACATTTGGAAAGGAACGCTCACTCTCCAGATCCCCCACCCTCCCACTGCCTGCTTCTTGGTGCCCGGTTAGGAGGGAGGTGGCTTCCTCTGGGACATCCTCCTCAGCACTCCTCTTTGTTCTAGAAAGTCAAGGCTCTTTAGCAACAGCACTGAGCACCCTGGCGGTAGCCGGCCGTGTAAGTACCTGTGTCTCTCTGTCCTCAGCACTGCACCCTCCCCAGCACAGAGGAGGCAGCGGTCAGTGTGCTGAATGAGCGGGTGAATAGCTGACTCCAGACAGAAGCCCAGCTGTCAGGAGCTTTAGCTACAGTGGGTGAGACAAGACACAGTTACATAAAAAGGAGCCAAAATGTAAAGGAGTGAGTGTATGGCTGGCTCATGAGTGGTGTCTGAGTATCATGGGCATTTAGGGGCCCACTTGGACTGGGTGAGGGTGGGCCGGCTTGGGGGAGGGGCTCAGCTCAGGGAGCAAACAGCACCCCTAGTGGAGGAAAGTGGCTGTGTCACCTGAGAGCAAAGAGTCCTCTATCTGGGTCCTGACAGCCTGGTGCAGCGCCAGGGTCCTGAGGCCGCAGTGGGAACTTGAGGGCCAGCTAGCCCCGTGTGCCATTGTCCTCAGAGAGGGCCGTGCCCACACATGCGCACCAGTATCTGCACCCGGTCCAGCCAGAAGAAATGGGAAACTTCAGCAGTTAAGTGAAGCACAGGCTACAGAAACTAAAAATCATTCAAATTTTTGAACTCTTAATGTTGGATTATGGAAAAAAAGTGCTTTAAATTAAAATACTGCTTTAAAATGTAAATTTTAAAAAAAAATTTTTGTTTTTCTTTAGGAGCATGGCCTGTTCTTATAGATGATTTCGTGGAATATGCACGGCCAGTAGTCACAGGCAGTAAACACAGCCCTTTCTAGGCAGAAAATGAAAATGGATTAGGATTCTGAAATGAACTGCACCCTGCAAGGAGACATTTTGGTCAATTTCTGTGCACACATGTCACTGATTTCAGAAGTCATCCTTGACCAGTCATCTCTGCTTAAAGAAAATGGTGGCTGAATTTGGACACCGTAAGGTCTCAGAAGATAGCTGCTTGGGGATGTCTGGAGATGGGTCACATACCTGTTGCTTTAGGAGATTTCTGCATGATTTTTACATTTATGAAAAAGTACCTAGAGCTTGTTTGCAGGACTGCAGAGCATGCTGTTAATTCATGATTTCAGGTGAACACCAGCAGTTACCACACTCCACTAAATTATATTGTAATTACACTTAAAAGAAAATATTTGTGCCCTTGGTAGGATGTTGTATTTTTATAAAAGTCAAAGCTGTTTAAAATGTGCCCAAAAGAAAATGATCTTGTCACGGATTCTAACATTTTTTTAAACTTGGTGCCAGGAATTCAAGATTTATATTTTTTGAATTATCGAATATCTAGATTTACCAGATCTATTTTTGTTTTAATTTTCTCTAGATGTTCATCTGAAAATCATTCTATAGTTTTTAATAGCCATTACAGTTTCCACAGCGATGGCACGTGTAGTATGTGGTAATTCCGGGAAAGTTTTATTTTAAACTGTTTACAAGTCAGCAGGTCTATTTTACTTCTAATATTGTCATTTGAACTTCCTAAGAAGTTTTGTAAAGTATGTTTTTTTAAAAAAATGTATTTTATTACGCTTAAAAAGACATTTTCCATGAAAAATATTTCTTTTATGAACGATGAATTATAGAGTTAAAAATTGAGTTGGTTCCTTTCAACTATCTGTAATATCCACAGTGTCCACTTTCCAGCCCTTTGTGTGGTTGTATACATTTGGAAGCTAAAACTAAAACACACATCATTGTCCACAAAAAAAAAAAAAAAAAGCCAAATCAGAAACCTTCATCTCATTTGCAAGCTGAAGCCTGTCTTTGCCGCACGTTGGCCTTGGCAAGGAGGACCGTCCAGGGTGGCACAGGGATAGGTGGATTGCTTGTCCAAAGGCGACGTACCTGCTCTACTTTTGGAAAAGCTCTGTGTAGAGTTTTGAAAAATCACTGTGTGGACCCTACCTCATATTTGAAAAGATCTTCCCGTCACAAGTGTGCCTGCTGTACTGCCTGTAACCCAGTTTATGAGGCAAATAAGCTGGGTTATTCTGGGACAGAGGAAGTTCACTTCAGATCTCCTGCAAGCAGAAAGTGTGCCTAAAATGTGTCGTTTTGATTTGACTTCCAAAAATGTGATTCACTCAGTGTTTTAGGAAGCACCCATGCACAACCTGAAGTTTGTGTGTACTTGCTGTATGTGAACTATTTATACTTTTGAATAGAAATCTTTCAAAGAGGGCAGCGGGCCGTGGAGGACTGGAAAGGGGGCGGAGGCCCAGAGACCACCGGCCAGGCTGGGCCATCGGCCCCTCACTAGGTGTCAGACCCAGGTAAGTCACTTAACCTCTCCCAGTCCTCCACTTCCTTGCCTTTAAAAAAAACAAAAACAAACAAACAAAAATAACAAGGCCATCTCTATCTGTAAGTCTGTGATTCTAAGGAGAGCATTTATTTTATATAATAAAAGCTAGCTTTAATAAAAAAACCTCAACAAATTTAAAGCATCCTTCAAGGCTTCACGTGTTCTTGACATGTAAGTGTTCTGTTCAGAGAAGATTATAGAACTTGGATAATCCTGTATAAATTATAGAGGTCTGCAACACTTTTATTCTTAAGATTTAAAGTTATATGAGGGAAAAAAATGTCCTATGGACTTGTTTATCAATAGATATCAAAACATTAGTAATTGGACAAAGGGTCTTAAAAAATTGTGCATTTCTTTTTCTTCTATTATATACATTTAAATTCATGCATGCTATGAAAGTGCTAAGAACCTTGGAAATATTAAAATAAATTATTTTCTCTGGTGTTGTGGTATACTTTCAATTGTATTCTTGGTTGTTCCTATACTCACCACTAGATGTCTGCGTTTTGATCTTGTCGTGGGACTGACAGGAAAGCCACCCCTATAGCACAGTGACACATGGGACATTCCCACCTGTGTCCAGCCTGCTGCCCTGCTTAAATGATCATGTCCCAAAATTGACAACTTCAGTCATTTATTTTTCTTTTTAGGTGTCACATAGTGTGCTAAATGTGGTTGGTTTTATATGAAAAATTACATAGCTCATTAGTCCTTGATAGGGATTATATAACGAGAATAAAATGCAAGATATAAATATATTGAAAATATACAAATTAACCAAACATTATAGGTTTAATAAATCTATGTTACTTGTGCCTTCATAGAGTGCCTGCCAAGAATTTCTGGAATAGATGTTACTGCTTTTTAACTGGTAACAATACATTTTACTGTGTCACTTTAACTTAGTAGAAGTTTAAGCATAATACTATGTACATGTCTCAGACTTCAGGCTCCATGGAGGCAGGGGAGATTTTTTCTGTTAGTTGCTATATTCACAGTTGGTAGCACACAGACGGGGCTGAGTAAATGATAAATGAACAAATTAGTGAACACATCTCACCTCTTCCTATTTGCTGACATAGAGCAGATAGTATGGAATTGCCTCTAGCATCTTCACTAAAGGTTTCTACTGTCTCAGAATTAGCAAGTGAAACTAGCCCTCGACTGTACCTCTGCCCCCAACAATAAATATTTCTGCCAAATGATGCTGTTCTACCTGCGGTAGGGTTGTCTGAATATGGGGCTGCTGTTGTCTGTCTTGTCCTGTTGGATAAGGAACCCACATAGCCAGCAATCCAGAACCATCTGTATTGATTTGGAAGGACTTTTTGCTTCAAAACCTCCCAGAACCATGCTGGCCAGAATAACATTCCAGAACCCCATTTTTAACAAGAGCTGTTATAATACTCTATGTTCATTTACATTCATCTTAGCATCATGTTATTATTGAAAAAAAATTCTATTTTTGTTAGATGCATTTCTTAAACCCAGGTGTGATGCTCTCCCACTTCTGCGTGATGTGTGGCCAGGTCCTGGGGAACAAGGGGGAAGCATGGGGACACTGTCACTCTCCAGGTCCGGGGGACAGTGAGATGGACTGCTTCCGTAACTCCTTGTTTCACATCGAGATCCCTGGTTTACACATTCCACCTCTTCCCATGTCTTTGAAAGTTCTCATTGTGCATCAACGGGGTGTTTAAACGCAGGAAGTGGATGGCTCCATCAGGGCTCCACTGCGAGGCTTCGTGCTCTGCTCACACACTTTGCAGTCTGAAGTCTGGTTATTTGGACAGCCTTTCGTTGAACACTACACTGTGAGAACACTTCATAATCTTTTACACTAGAGCTGGATGTGTTCTGTTACTTTACACTTTGCATTTCCTCAGTTTTCTATCATAAACACATCTTTATAGTCCAAAAAAAAAGCTTCCAAAAAATAAAACTATGATGGATGAATCTCCACATTATGCTAAATAAAAGAAGCCATGCATCAAAGGCCACATAATGCATAATTCCATTTATTTAAAATCTTAGGAAATGCAGACGCGTAGGGACAGAAAGCAGATGAGTAGTTACCCGGGACTGCAAAGAGGGGATCAGGGAGCAGATGGGCACAGGGACTCTGAGGTGACAGAAGTGTTCTAAAGCAGGTCTATGGCAAAAGTTGCACAGCAGGGCACCTTCACACAAACTCATCAGACTATGCACTGAACGCTCGTGAATTTCATGGTGTTTAAATTACACCTTAAAGCTTTAGAAATGTGCACATTTCTTCAAGAATACTGTGAAAAGATTCACTGCTTAAAAGTTGTCGCTTTGTGAGAGAGCGTCTGGGGTTGTTCTGGATGCTGCCCAGATGTTCTGCAAAAGCCTGCAGGCTCCCCTGTTGAAGATCTAGTGTCTGTTCAGAGGCTGAAGGAAGCTGACACTTCCACGCGGCTCTTCAGAAGGCGGTGTGAGCTGCGGGGTCCAGAAAGTTTTTCTCATTGGTGCCACCTGCAGACCGAAAAGTAGTGCCTGGCCATTTGAGGAGGCTCTTAACAGCGACACAATGACCAGAACAGAGGTCAGCGGGGTGGACTGAAAGCTGCCACTGCCGTGAAGCAACAAAGGCGAGGCGTGCTCAGCGGCTGTGAGGGCTGAAGAGCCACCTTTGCAATGGAGAAGTTTCAGGCTGCGATGTTGCTAGGGAGCATTGGAGATGCTCTGGGTTACAGAAATGCCCGCAAGGAGAACAGTGCTTCAGGCACGAAGATCCAGGAGGAGCTGCAAAAGCTCGGGGGGCTGGACCACCTCGTACTCTCCCCGGAGAAATGGCCTGTGAGTGACAACACCATCATGCACATGACGACGGCTGGGGCTCTCACCACAGGTAAGGCTTGGCCGCTGCGCCCCTTGGGCTGTCAGGTGAACCCTGAGTTCTTGCCGTAAGCACTGGAGTTTTGAGGGTCATGCGGCCTTTCAGCCATGGTGTCACCAAATGCCAATGCTAAAAGTCGCAATTTAATATACACCAGTGTCCCTCAGCAAATCAGACATGCCACAGATCATGTTTCTCATGTAGTCTTTCTGGATGACAATATTATTTTACTCTACTTATGTGTAGAGTCAGTTTCTTAAACAGTGACTTTTCACTTGCCTGTAATATGTTCACTAAGCTGAGCCGTCTGCCTCTAGATTTAAATTCAATTAAGTCTCTCACTTTGGGGCTGTTTGGGTTAGGGCTCAATTTTTCACTGCAGGTAGTAAGCCTTCGTCTGAATTTATTTCAAAAGAACATAAAGTAGTAAGCCAGTTTTAAAATTTGGACAAATCAAGATAATATTGTTTGGGAATTACTTCTAAATTCCAATGAATTAAGGTTAAAACGCTAGCTACCAAAATGTGATTTAGCTTGGATAGTTGCTTATACCTGAATATGTCCTAAGAAAATGCTATAAAATAGTTTAGTTGGGGAATAGGGAAACAAAGTTTCTTGAAATAGTCTTTAAATAGCAAGTTGATTTTCGGATCAACAAGTTTTTACATAGACTTCAGAGAAACAGATTTATAAATATGTAGCACAATTTTTGTACAAGTTATTTGCTTTTTAAAAATCTGTGTTAATAGTGTGTCACTGAAAAATTAAAATCAGAGAGTGACTCTTAAATCAATGAAATCCTACTTGTGAGCTTACCTCGCTATTCCAAGTGTCTCCTATGAGCACGCTCAGTTTAGTTCTGTGGTCATTGTCCAAGAATGTCATCTACTTTGTGACCTGTTCCTAAATAGCTAGGGACAGAGCTAAAGCACCATAGATAAGATAAAGTTGAAACAGTGTGTTGAAAATGGTGAAGTGTCTTCCTGAGTCTACACAGCTTCGACATCCAAATATTTCCTGTCTGATGCTTTCAGGAAGATTCTCCTGGGTTTTGTGTTCCACAGCACTAAATAGCATTCCAGCAGCCCAAAGCAGTAATGCCTACCCTGCCCCCATCCCCCGCACCCCGTGCCCCAGAATCCTGCTGGGGAGCATGGCTTTCAAAACAAAACCATGGCTTGTTTTAGCGGTGCGCAGCTGGTCGTTACGCTTAACCTTTCCTTCCCTTACTTCCGTCTGATTGATGCACCCAGTCACAGTCCACACATCCTCTCTGTGTTTGCCCTCCTCTACTTAGCACCTCAGCAAGTTTTTGAGAATGGCAGAATCCACACCATGTCTCTGTCCTGTGTGGTTACCCCAGCACACGGTGGGGCACTCCTGACCGTAATGTGCTCTCTGAGGTTAGATGGAGTCAAGTCCTCTGGGGAGAAATAGAACCCAATCTACCCTCAACATGAAATGTACGCATTTAAGAGGATTGTGAATTTGGGGGGCATTGTTTTTAAGGAGGAAGATGTGTTGCTTCTACGTGACCACAACCACCAGCTGTGGGAAGCATGTAATTGCTACACCTGGCAGCACCCTCTGGCCTGTGGGTCATGAGAGGGAACTCAAGAAGCCTGCCGCCTTGCCCTGTAGCTCAGTTAGAGTGTCGTCCCCATGAGGCAAGGTTGTGGCTTTGATCCCTGGTCAGGACACATACAAGAATCAGCCAGTGAATGCATAAATAAGTGGAACAACAAATTGATGTTGCTCATTTTCCCCTCTCTCTCTCTCAAATCAATAAATTAAAAAGAAGAAGAAGAAGAAGAAGAAGAAGCTTGGTGCTTTAAAATGTACTCCTCCAAAAACTCAAGCAAGCATATTTTTTTCAATTCATAAAAATCTAAGTTAAAATTTAATTTACGTTTAGTTTTCAAACAATCCATTTTTTTTTTCTTTAAGTAACAAATTGTAGTCTGAAGAAGGGGCCTCTGAGCTAACTCTGATGTGGCACCGATCACATGCCAGGCATTGTTCTAACTTCACGTTACCGTCATCTAATCTTCACATCACCCCAAATGTTGACTGCGGTACTAGTTTTACACATAAGGGAACCGATACACAGATATGGTAAATAACTTTCCCAACACTACACAGCTGAGTGAGTGTCAGATTAGGGATTGGGACACAAACAAACTGTCCTCAATGCCCATGTTCTTACACGCTGTCCCCACCACCTGAGGTCACTGGACATGAAAATATTTCAAGGATCCTATGAATAGTGGTTTTTCAACAAGACAAAGTGGAACTACATCTTGGCATACTTAAGCAAGTTTCGCTAACAAGTGCCTTAAGCCAATGAACCATGTAGCCGTGTGGTCTGGTGAACCACCGTCCTGCTATAGAGTGAGCGTGATGAGCAAGGTCAGGTGCAGCCTGTGTGACGTCCTACTTTTGGGTGTGTCTCTGAAAAGGGCAGTGTTAAATGAAAGCAGATGTTGACTAGATATAGAAAGTAGCTAATGCCCCACAAGGTAGGTGAGTAATCCAGTGTACACAGCTTATGAGCAAAGAGCTCACTCGACAAGCATTTACCAAAGGCTCCCTTGTATGTGCGGTCCTGTGCCCTCCACCCAGAGACGGCGGGCTTCCCTTTAGGGGCTCCAGAGCGTGACATTCTTGGTTCTCTACCACTGCTCACCAGAAAACCACTTTCCCTCTCTGAGCCTCGCTTTGGGATAATTCCTCCATCATAGGGCTGTGTGAAGATTACCTGGGACAGCGTAAGTTATTAGGGGCAGGTAGCTCATGGCAAAATAGTGAATGTTGGTCTTTCTACAATGCCTTTTGCATCTGAGGGCCAGCAGCTCCAACTGTCGTGACCAAACAAAGTAGCCCTGTTGCTGTTGCTGTGACAAAGGAATGAAGGAGAGGGAGCTTTAGCCCACCAGGGACAGCTGCGAATGCCACCCGTGTGTCTAGGACGTGCAGGAGAACGAGGGGCCTGGTCCAAGTACGAGCAGACGAGGCCCGTCCTGACTCAGCTCTTTATTTCTCTTTCTCCATCAATGTCTCCCTGTTAACAATATTTTGGAAAGTGGACAATTTTCTCACAAAGTAGCTCGATATTGGTATTGTGACTTTTCTTCATCATGAGATTCGTTGGGAGACTTACAGGTGATTTGTAAGCTGATTGGTATTTAGAAGCCTGGGTTGGTAAGTCGGCGAAGAAATTAACCATGTTACACAATGTAGAGAAATTCAAGTGAGAGACCCCAAGGCTCTGCAGCTTTGAAAAATCTCTTTCTTCTTTAAATTCTAAACTGAAACCAGTACAAGGCTTATAGTTGCCATTTTGTTTTTAAGGAGTATTTTTTCTTTATAAAGAGATATGATTCCAGAATAAAAGGAATTATTTTTGGAGACTCTGGAAGGGCCAGGCTTATTAACCTTGGATTGAGTCACGAAAGGCTGTTTGTAACGGATATTGCTGATGACAGGGCCTGGAGAGATCCCAGTGGCTCACACCTCCTAGCTGAGGTTAATCGTATTCCAGCAGGGTCACCCATGGGACACCCCTTCATGTGACCAGAAGAACTAATTCCTCCCCAACCAAAGTCTTGCCACATCCTCTCTGTCGCCCTTGGAACTGGGGCAATGCAGAGTGTGTCCAGGTAGGAGCTGTGGGCTGGGCCCTGCGGGACTCCCCTTGCTGTTACGCGAGCAAATAACGGGACAAAAGGACTTAGAGCCACCCTTTCACTAGGTCCCTTCTCCAAAGGTTCACAACTCTAGGATGTGAGGGTGGCACCTGCTGTAACCACTGCCAGGACTGAGCCTTTCATCCCGGAGCAGGGAGGGGTGCCAAGTTCATTTCTGCTCTTTCTCGCCCCTCTGTGTGGGGACCCCAGCTCTGAGGTCGCGTAACTAAGGCTGTGGTCAGGCCATGGGAAGGTAGGTGGGTTTCGATGCCAACAGTGCTCCACGGCCTGCTCTGAGCCCAGGGTGGCCAACAGGTGGTCTCTCACCCCCTCCCCCACACCTCCCCAAAGACGGGAAATGCACCACCAAAGAGAGGAGGGCCAGTAGCTGGCTCCTAATGTCAGCCCAAATGCCTGCAATGCAGTGTTTAGCCCGGAGGAGTTGTCGGGGGCTGTAAGCTGTGTCGGCCGTGCCCTCCTGCCCTGTCCAGCACCGCAGCCCCTCCACCATCCCACACCCACTCTCCCTGCATGTGACCAAGCACCTTGGATGCCAATTTTGGAGGGTGGGTGGCCTCTACCGACCATGCTGTGGGTCAGTTCAGTTGCAAAAATACTCAGGCTCTGCAATCAAAATCCATCTACCAGCTCTGGCCTTAGGTGAATCATATAACCTCACTGCACTTTACCTGGAAAAATAACAGTATGACAAATATGAGCCTGACAATGTCGTGAGAGGATTTCATGAGATCATCCAAGGCGTAGGACCGGGCAGACAGCAGGCGGCCTGTGTGCATTGGCCCCTCTGTCCTCCATGCCCTGTGATCTTCAAGGGACTTGAGGCCACGCTTGTGCCCAGAACACCTTCACAGAGTGGGGAATGCAGTTTGCTTTGGGACAAAGCCTGGAAAGCATTGGCGGCTTCATCGGTGTGAGAAGGGAATAGCAGGTGGGAGAGACTTGGCTTCCCGTGCCTTAGATGTGGGTCCTTAAAAGCCCAAGGAACAGGCAGATTTCAGCCCAGTTTGTCCTCACACAGACAGAGGAGCTAGCAGCATATGACCATTGTGCGTTTTTTCCTAGGTTCTTGTATGTAACTAGAATAGGGAGCACAATGACAAACTACAACGCGTGATATTTAGGTGCAATCTGAAGCAAATCATTTGGCCGCATGTTACATTTCTCTAGGTAGCCCAGGCAGTGTGAGATGGATCACTAAAATCTTCCTCCTCTCTCACTGACTTGGAAACGTAATGCTTGCTTTCATGTCTCTCGCCACTGCTGTGTTGGTGTTTAGGAGGCAGACGCCCCTGCTGCTCCCACTGACCCTGCTTCCCCTTACTTCCCTAGACTACTGGTGCCTGGATGACCTGTACCGGGAGATGGTGAAGCGCTACGTGGAAGTCCTCGAGAAGCTTCCAGAACATCGAGCAGACCCAGCTACCATTGAAGGCTGCTCACAGCTGAAGCCGGATAACTATCTCCTCGCCTGGCACACACCTTTCAACGAGAAAGGTGAGGGAAGGCTTGCTTTTCCCTCTAAAGCTGCATGCTAGGGAACCACCACAGGGCATTAACCCACTTGTCTTCCACTGACGGGCCGCCTCGCAGATGTGCATGAGCTGAGAGGGATTTGCCTGGATTTGTAGGGCCCTGTGCTGCCTGGAGAGCCAGCTCGCAGCTCGGGAGTCTACTGAGAGGATGTCAGTTTCCCCGGCAGTTTGTTACTGATTCCTGGTGTATTTTAAGAAATATTTTCCTCTGCATTCCCTTTAAGTTTGTAAAAAAGTTTTTGCCAAAATATCAAGGAAAACATACACCACCGGCATACATGCTGGTCTCCACAATAATTTCATGAGTGTATGGGTGATGTATTTAGATAACCAGCCTCTGCCTCCAGGGTCTCGGCTCTTGGGTTCTGGACCCGCCCCCTCTGGGTTTATACTGAAGGATGACATCCTATCAAACAAAGTCAATAATAAAAAGAAAAGTCAATAAATCAAAATTGATGAAACCTGACCATGATTAGAATTATTAGACAAGGATAGAAAATAGTATGTATTCTCCACCACCACCCACCACCCCACCACACTGCAAAAAAAAGAAATAGTATGTATTCTAAGAGGGAGAGGGAAAAAGGGGAAGGACGGGGAAGGGCCCAGAAAAGGAACATGTATGGATTACCCGTGGACATGGACGACAGGGTGGGGGTGGAGTGTGGTGAGGGACAGGAGTGAGCAGTGGGGGGAAATTTGGGCAACTGTAGTAGAATAACAATAAAATTTTAACAAATAGTATGTATTCTAAATTTCAGAAAGTTAGGTAGAGACATGGAGGTATAAAAAAGACCCACATTACATTTCTAGAGAGAAACACTATGATGTCTGAGTTTAAAAATACATTGGCTGAGATGAACAGTTCAGATATTTCAGAAGGAAAGATTAGTGTGTTTGAAGGCACAGCAAAAAAACTATCCAAAATGGAACACACAGAGAAAAAAGAATAAAAAGAAATGAAAAGAACACTAGTGAGCCATGGGACAACTTAACGCAACCTAGTATACCTGTAATTGTAGTCCTTAACAGAGAGAAGGGGAAAAAAGAAAGAAAAAGATTTCAAGAAATAGGAGCCAAATATTTCCAAATATGATGAAAACTATTAGCTTCCAGATCCAAGAAACCCAATAAATTCCAAGCAAAAAAAAAAAAAAAAAGAAGAAGAAGAAGAAGAAGAAAACTATACCAAGGCATATAGCAGTCAAATCACCCAAAACTAAAACTCACATCCGATATAGACAGTCAAGGTGAGGACAATAGCAGATTTCTTGTCAGAAGCAACATAAAGTGTACATAGCAAGCAACGTTATTCCAGTGAGGAAAGAAAGAACTTCAACCTAGAATCCTACACCCAGAAAAAATCTTTCAGAACCGAGGCCTAGTAGCCTTTTTCAGGTGAACAACAACTGAAGAATTCATCACCAGCAGAGTCACGCCACCAGGAACGCCAATGGAAGTTCAGAGGCTGTCTCGGGCAGAAGGGGAAAACAGCGAATGGAAATAGGGACCTACCCAAAGGCATGGAGACAGATGGAAATGGTAACTACTTGAGACTATTTGACTTGTTATTGAAATGTCTTTAAAAGAAAATTGGTTTTAACAAATCATGACAAGGTACTACAAAATTTATAGATGACATATAAGCAAATGTATGACACAGCAGCACAAAAGCTGGGAGGGGAATGACGGAGGTGTGCAATTGTAAGGTGCTTAAATGAGCTGTGAAGCGGTACAAAACTCACATGAAGACAGACTGTGCTAGGTTAACAATCTATACTACAAACCCAAAGCAACCATTAAAATAGCAACATAGTTATAACTCGTAAGCCAACAAAAGACTTGAAATGGAATCATTTTAACATTTGCTGGGGAAGCAGCCATTGTGAGAGCTGGGCCCATCCCTCGCCTCGCCCAGTCAGTGCCCCTGAGCTGGAACATCTCCCTCTGTGGAGACCAGGTGTAGAGCTATCACTCGGCCCCAGAGCCCTCTCCTGAATGAGAGAAGCCTTCCCTGTTCTGGGTTCTCAGTGAACCTCCCATGCTGCTCAAATGTGAGCGTCCTATGGCACACATCTGCCCCATGGGGAGAGAAGAAGGTCTTCACCTGCAGTAGGAGGGACATGCAGTCCACCGCCCGGCCTTCACTGCAGGAGGGGCCCACCAGCCCTCGAAGACCAGAGCATACTATCAACAAGACCTTGCTGTGTCTTCTCCTTTCTGTGAGGGAAGTTTTGTTCCAACCCATGTGTCCAGAGTCATCCTTGGTGACTCTGAACCTGTACAAGGCACAGTGGGAGGAGGTCAGTAAGACCCTTGTTGTGGTCTGTTAGGGTGTATGTCATCCTCCACACAGTGGGAATCTTTGCTGAGATTTGTAGCTGAGTGTCTTGCTTGATAATAATGTTCAATACAAAAAATACAGAAAAGAGAGAAAGGCTACGAATATCAGAACAAAGAGAAAATAAAAAAGAAAATGATAGGCTTAAACCCAACCAAATCACTAATGACATCAAATGTAAATGGTCTAAAGATTCCAAATAAAAGACAAAGACTTGGAGGGGATAAAGAAGCATGTCCCAACTACATGATACTTTTAAGAACTTCACTTTAAATATAAAGACACAAAGAGGTTACATGGAAAAAGATATACCACGTAACATTAACCAAAGGAAAGCTGGAGTGACTCTATTAATAAAGTAAATTTTGGAGGGAAAATGAAGGCAATTTCATCATAACAAATACATCTGTTCATCAGGAAGACATAACACACCTAAATATCTATGTATCTAATAATAAACTGTCAAAATAATACAAAGCAAAAGCTGATAGAGTTTTATGGAGAAACAGACAAACCCACAATTACAGGCAGAGATTTTAATATTAAGGTTCCAAACCAATGACTTCCATTTTCACCTTAAGAAACTAGAAAAAGAAGAATGGCATAAACCCAAAGAAAACAGAAGAAAGGAAATAATGAAGATTAGGGTGAAAATCAATGACATAGAAAACAGAAAAACAACAACAAAAAGAAAACATAGAAAAACAATAGAGAAACTCAAAAAACCAAAAGCTGGGACTTTTTTAGTAATAATACCAAAAAGCTGGCAATTTTATTTATTTCTTTTTCTTTTTTCTTTTCCCCCCAACCAGCACTCCCTAGCCCCTTAGTTCATGTCCATGGGTTGTATTTATAAGTTCTTTGGCTTCTCCATTTCCTATACTATTCTTAATTTCCCTCTGTCTATTTTGTACTTACCAATTATGCTCCTTATCCCCTGTACCTTTTCACTCATTCTCCTCCCCATCCCTGCTGATAAACCTCCATGTGATCTCCATTTCTGTGATTCTATTCCTGTACTAGTTGTTTGCTTAGTTAGTTTTTGTTTTTTAGGTGCAGTTGTTGATAGTTGTGAGTTTGTTGTCATTTTAATGGTCATAGTTTTGATCTTCTTTTTCTTACATGAATCCCTTGAACACTTCGTATAATAAGGGCTTGGTGATGATGAACTCCTTTAACTTGACCTTATCTAGAAAGCACTTTATCTGCCTTTCCATTCTAAATGATAGTTTTGCTGGATAGAATAACCTTGAATGCAGGTCCTTGCCTTTCATGACTTTGAATACTTCTTTCCAGCCCCTTCTTTCCTGCAAGGTTTCTTTTGAGAAATCAACTGACAGTCTTATGGGAATCCTTTGTAGGTAACTCTCTCCTTTTCTCTTGCTGCTTTTAAGATTCTCTCCTTATCTTTAATCTTTAATTTAATTATCATGTGTCTTGGTGTATTCCTCCTTGGGTCTAACTTCTTTGGGACTCTCTGAGTTTCCCAGACTTACATGTCTATTTCCCTCACCAGAATGGGGAAATTTTCGTTCATTAGTTTTTCAAATAAGTTTTTGATTTCTTGCTCTTCCTCTTCTCCTCTGGCACCCCTAAGATTCAGCTGTTGGAACATTTAAACTCATCCCAGAGGTTCCTAAGCCTCTTCTAATTTTTTTTGAATTCTTGTTTCTTCATTCTATTCTGGTTGAATGTTTATTTCTTTCTTCTGTTCCAATTCATTGATTTGAGTCCTGATTTCCTTCCCTTCACTGTTGGCTCCCTGTATGTTTTTCTTTATTTCACTTTGCATGGCCTTCACTTCTTCCATTTTGTGTCCACACTAATCATTTCTGTGAGCATCCTGATTACCAGTGTTTTGAACTCTGCATTTGATAGGTCGGCTATCTCCTCATTGCTTAGTCCTTTTTCTGGAGTTTTGATCTGTTCTTTCATTTGGGCCATATTTCTTTGTCTCAGCACGCCTGTTACATTGGAAGGGGCAGAACCTTAGGTATTCACCAGGGCGGGGCAACCCAGGTTGCTGAGTGTGGCGCTGAGTGTGGCACTGTATGTGCGGAATGGGTCAGAGAGGGAACAACGCCATTTGCCCTGCTCTCACCCCACTATCAGTCACTTCCCCCACTACCCACAAGAAAATTGGGTCATCCTGGTGCTGATTCCCAGGTGCATGGGTTTGTGTGCCTTCTTGGACCCTGTGGATCTCTCCAACAAACTCTCCTGTGAGACTGGTCATTTCTCCCACTGCTGCAACCCCCACAGGTCTTTACAACGAGAGGTTTTGAGGCTTTACTTCCCCACACTGGAATCCTGGGTAGTGCAGTCTGTCTCGCTCTCCAGTTGTTCCTCCAGGATTATCTGCATGCAAATGTGGGACCACCAGCTGCCACCTTGCCCACCCAGTCTGCCTCCTTGCCACGAGTCCTCTCTGCCCCATCTGCCCATCTCTGCCCCTCCTACCAGTCTAGATGAATGTTTCTTCTTTAACTCCTTGATTGCTGGACTTACATACAGTTTGATTTTATGGCAGTTCTGGTTGTTTTTTTGTTTTTAAAATGGTTGTTGTCCTTCTATTGGTTGTGTGAGGAAGCAAAGCATATTTACCTATGCCTCCATCTTGGCCAGAAGTACCCAAAAGCTGGTTCTTTAAGATTAAAAAAAAAAAAAGTATAATCCTCTAGCCAGATGATCAGAAATAAAGAGAAAGACACAAATTATCAGTATCAACAATAAAGAAGTGACATCACTACAGGTTCTACAGAAAGTAAAGGAAAAAAGGAATATTAACATTTTTATGCAAAAAATTTAACAACTTAGATGAAATAGACAGATTCCTTGAAAAATGCAAGCTACCAAAAGGCACTCAAGAGTAACTGGATCACCTAAATAGCATTCTATCTATGAAATAAATTACAAGGAAAGCTCCAGATCCAGGTGGCCTCACTGAGGAATTCTACCAAACAGCTTAAAAAAAAAAAATACCAACTATACACAACTTTTCCAGGAAACTGAAGAGGACAAATGCTCCCTAAATTCATTCTTCTGCTCTCCAAAATACTGTGGTAAAAAAAACTGAAAAGGCAAGCCACATATTGGGAGAAAATATTTGCAAAACATAAATCTGATAAAGGATTTGAATCCAGAGTGTATAAAGAACAATTAAAATTTAATAAGAAGAAAACCAGCAATCTAATACAAAAACAGGAGAACTATTTAAATGAACACTCCACCAAAGAAGGTATATGGATGACAAGTAAGTGCCTGAAAACATGCTCAACATCCTTAGTCATTACAATAACGTAAATTAAAACTGCGATGAGATACCATACATGCCTAAGAGAATGGCTGAAATTAAAAAGATTGACCATAGCAAATGTGGTCAAGGATGTGGAGGAGCTGCTGATGGGATGTAGAATGGCACATCTATTTTGGAAACCTGTTTGTCAGTTTTTAAAAAGTTTAGCTTTCCTCCACCGTATACACTAGAGGTTCCACTCTGAGGTAATTACCCAAGAGAACAGAAAGCATATGCCCACACAAAGATTTGGTTATGAATGTTCATACATCTTATTTGTAACTGCTCCAAATTGGAAATAAGCCAAGTGTTCATCAGCAGGTAAGTGGATAAATCAGGTGTGGTGTATCCATATATTGGAGTCCTATTCAGCAAAAAGCAAAAAACAAAGAGTCAGCTATTGATACACAACAATAGCATATCTCAAAATAGTTATGCTGAGTAAAAGAAGTCAGGAAAAAATGATTCCATTTATATAAATTTATAGAAAAGGCAAACTAATTTATACTGCCAGATCAGTGGTTAGTGGAGACTGCTGGAGAGGCCTGGGAAAACTTTTAGGGGTAATGGATATGTTCACTATTTTTAGGTGCTGGTTTCATGGATATATCATGTGTCAAAACTTATCAACTTGCATACTTTAAACATGTGCAGGTTGATTATATTTCAATTATAACTCAGTGAAGCTGTTTTAAAAAGAGAAAATACATATGATTGAACGCATACTGTGTGCACAGTTATGCCTTCTACATTTTTCACAGTAGAAGCATATTATGAGCATTTCTTCATGTTATCAAAAATTCTGTTTTTAAGGGCTAAATACCATTCCAATATATGGATGCTTTACAATGTATTTAATCTCATTTCTTTGTTAAGCATATGGACAGTTTGCCCATTTTTCATTCATTTAAATGACACTATAATAAACATTTTATTACATAATTTTTATACATTTTTTTGGATTATTCATAAAAGCAGGATTGCCAGAAGTGGAGTTACTGGAGCAAAAGACTAAAATCAGGTATTTCGTGTTCCACACAGGTTCAGGATTTGGAGCGGCCACCAAAGCGATGTGCATCGGCATGCGGTACTGGAAGCCCGAGCGGCTGGAGACCCTTATTGAAGTCAGCATCGAGTGTGGCAGGATGACTCACAACCACCCCACAGGTAACACTGTCATTGGAACAGATGCTCTTGTGTGATTCTCTGCCAGGCAGAGACTGGAATCTTATGTGATCACATTCCCTGTTTGGTTTGCTATTTGTTGGCAGGCTTGGGTTTTTAAATCTTCAGTTCTACGTAAATTCTGTTTTCAAGCTAAAATCGGGACTGGCAATAAGTGTGGTGATTTTGGAGAGGGTAGGAAAAGCATGAGTTATCCAAAGAAAACTGAGATCTGGGTTGAAGTCATGGGAGCTAGCATTTATGTTGTGTTGTCAACACAGAAGCCAACCCAGTGGCTAGGGTCTTCTGCTCCTGGGAGCTGTGCCTGAGGCCAATACTTGGATCCAGACAGACCCTTCATTGGCTGCGTGAGCTGGGCCGAGTCACTTAATGACTCTGTGTTTCCATTGCCTCACTTGCAACAAGGATTATTACAGTGAGGCGCTTATTTTGTGTATGGGGATAAAGTAAGTAGAATAATAAAACCTCTAAGCACATGCTCACCGCTCGGTGTGCACAGTGGGGCCAGCTGCATTCTGGGATCCCCCACCATGTGTCCACCACACAGAGGGTGGGCAAGTGGGGCAGCCCCAGAGCCTGACTGTGAGAAAGCCAGTCAGCTCATAATGCTTAAAAAAGAATGACCTGAAACTCATATACCTGTGACCTGATCTTAATCATGGCACTATGGGTGATGTGCCCCAGCCCCACCCAGCCAGAGGCCCAGAAGCTGCCAGCTGCTCTCTGCTGATTGTTCTGATCCTTCAAGGTCGCCTTTGGGGGCTACCCTCTGTCTTCCTGGCAAATACTCTTCTGTGGGTGTGAACTCTAGTGGGCAATGTAACCCTGATGAGTGGATGTGGCAAAATATGCTGATAAATTCACCAAAGGCAGTGACCGCCTAAGCTGTGACTTCCACAAATAAGTGTGTTAGATCTTTAAAGTATACGCAGGGAGGCATCAAATTCAACCAGCTGGCACTATCTTGGATGGTTGAAAAGGAATTAATGCTGGACATCTGCTAACTAACTGGTTCAACTAGAGGTAAATTAAACATTTAAAAAAAAACCTTCAAACATGAAAATGTAAAACATTTGGAAATAATCTGATGAGTACAAGAATCTGGGTTGAGAATTAAAACTCTAAATGCTTGGCTAATATATTTCCCACTCTTATCAAAGAAATGTTCTTTTACATGTTTAATAGCTAAGGCATGTATATATTTCTAGGATGATGACTGAAAATGTTTTAAGGGTTTGATTGTAGAGAATTAACACCAGAATGTGCATTTTAAGTCATTTTAAGTCCACTCTCCTCTTCAATTTTTGAACCACTTTTGATAGTGAGTGTCATAATTTTGATTACAGCATGCGTTATCCTGGACTCTGGAGCTGAAACTCTCCATGAGGAGGTAGAGCAATGGCAGGTGGTCAGGACAGTAATTGAACCCTGGGTTTGAGAACTAGATGCCTACCCTTGAAATGATCCATATCTGATGCCTTAAGGAGTGACCAAAGAGCCACCAAGAGTGTCTCAGTGAGATGGCAGCGCCCTTTCTCTGGTGGGCACTGTCTTTGTGTGGCCGGTACTATAAGCCAGCCAGCCCAGCACTTGTCTGTGGTTAAAATCATCTGTCCCCACAACAGCCCTTGCAAGATGGGTATTGTACCTCTTTGGGCAGAGAGGAAAGAAGGTCAAAATGCTGAAGCAATTGCCCATGGTCCTACATCTGTAACACTCATCCAGCATCACAGAGCAGGGGTGTGGCCCAAGTGCCATTGTTGTCCCTCTCCCCTAATCGCCCTCCAGGCTTCCTCGGGTCTCTATGCACAGCCCTGTTTGCATCTTATGCCACACAAGGGAAGCCGCTGGAGCAGTGGGGGAGAGACATGATGAAGACGGTCCCACTGGCTGAAGAATATTGTAAGAAGACCATCCGGCACATGGCAGGTGAGCCTCACAGCCTTTCCTATCACACTTGCTCGCACTGGCACCTAGAAAGAGTTTGGTCTCAATTCACACTCAGGGCAAATTTGGACAGTCCCCGATCCCAAAGAGGCCATTTGCCCCACAGTGAAACCAAGAGCATCTCCATAGCATCTGTGTGAGCAGGAGGACCCCACAAAGAAGGGCTGAAGTGTTGCCTTGCCAGAGCGTAATACCTGCTTAGGAGGGCCCCGGGTGTGCACAGAGATCCACAGTGGCGCCAGGAAGAGTGGACCCTTGAACTTTGTGTTTCATTCAATGTCATTTTGTTAAAACGTTGATGAGATGCTGTTGGGAACTTAACTCTTTTTTATATCAATTAGCCTGGGGTAAAATTGGCTTCCTTATACATCATTTCACTTAAAGTCACAGAACCTATTGAAGAGTTAAGCAGGGGCTTACTGTACTTAGATTTAATTTTCCAAATTGTCTGTAAGTGACCCGTTTTTCAGAGAGCAGCAAGGGATGCAGACACTGCTGTGGCGACGTAATGGACAGCTGTGCCTAACCCAGGAGACAAGTCTCCCACACCAAGGCCAGACAGAGAGGTCTGTGCCACTGATGACACTAACTCCCAGGAAGCTCTATCTGTCCCACTTGACCCAAAACTTGTCATCAGATGATTCACTCTTTTTGGCCATGAGGGAGGTCAACCCAGCCAAAAGCAACCAACCCAGCCAAGGCCCTAGGGAATCACAGCGTGCTTTCGGCTGGGCCATGGAGGGGTGTCTGAGCTCCTCTCGGCCTGCTCCCCTGTCCCCATGGGATCCCCGAGGGAGAGCGGGTGCAAGGCTAGGAAACCCCGGGCTTTCTCCTCAGGCAGCGGACCCACAGAGGGACACGGGCTGCACGAGGAAAGCAGGCGGCTTCATGCGGCCTTTGATGGTCTTAAATTGTGGAGGAGAATTATACAATAAATTATCCAATTTGCCCTGGAGGAGAAGGAGTTGAAGGATTTGAATGTAGGAGCAGGGTTGCTGGTTTTTCAGAAAGCCTAAGGCTGAAGTCTTGAAACACAAAACCAACAAATCACTTTACTGTCAGCCTCCAAGCTGCAGGTACTAGATTCTAAAATGCCTTGTGCAAAGTTTCTAGAATAACTTTTTAAGGAGACTTTTGCACTTATATCTGCCTGGACCTAGTGCTGGATAACACTTCTCCACAAGGTCCCTGTTCTAGTGAGAAATGAGACACCTCCATGTTCACAGCAAACTTCAGGTGTCCCTAACCAGTCATCCCTCTATAAACCTAATTACAGAACCCCAGTGGCAGCACCACACTATTTTCATTTGGTTTAAGTCATTGTTATCCCTGGGTTCTCTCCAGCCCTGAGGACGTTGGTCTGTGGTCATTGAGTTAGTCATCTCCCTCACCCGGTAGGGTCACCTTAATCTGAAAGACACAGGTAAATAAACTGTGTATGAAACTATGTACACAGTTACATTATATTAATAAACATATCCCCAGAAGTCTAGTATCAAAATGGTTTTCCCCAGGGTTTTCTAAGAATGAAAAGTTAGATGTTTCATGAACAAAAGACAGGGAGGAGAGTCATTGGTCAAATAATTTTGAGATTTTATTCTCTCTATTTAATTTTAAGTTTGTTTAACCCAGAGTTTTGTAAACCTCTATGGCAGAACTGTTTTTAGTTTTATTTTTATTATTTTTCATTTTTATCTTTTAATATATTTTATTGATTATGCTATTACAGTTGTCCCAATTTTCCTCCCTTTGCTCCCCTCCACCCAGTACCCACACTCCTTCCAGCAGTGCCCCGGCTTAGTTCATGTCCACAGGTCATGCATGCAAGTTCTTTGGCTACTCCATTTCCTATACTGTTCTTAATAGCCCGCTGTCTATTTTGTACCTATCAATGTGTACTTCTTAATCCCTGCGCATTTTCCCTCATTCTCCCCCCTGCCAGCTAAGAACCCTCCAACTGATCTCCATATCTATGATTCTATTCCTTTTCTGTTTGTTTGCTTAGTTTGTTTTTTAGATTCAGTTGTTGATAGTTGTGAATTTTTGTCATTATAATGGTCATAGTTTTGATCATCTTTTTCTTATATGGTTCTCTTTAACATGTCATATATTAATGGCTTGGTGTTGATGAACTCCCTTAACTATACCTTCTCTGGGAAGCACTTTATCTTCCCTTCCATTTTAAATGATAGCTTTGCTGGACAGAGTAATCTACGTTGTAGGTCCACTTTCTATCACTTTGAATACTTCTTGCCAACCCCTTTTTGCCTGCAGAGTTTCTTTGAAGAAATCAGCTGACAGTCTTATGGGAACTCCTTTTTAAGTAACGCTCTACTTTCCTCTTGCTACTTTTAACATTCTCTCTTTATCTTTAACCTTTGGCATTTTAATTATGATGTGTCTTGATCTGGTCCTTTTTGCGTCCAACTTCTTTGGGACTCTGTGCTTCCTGGACTTGTCTATTTCCTTCACCAAATTAGGGAAGTTTCCTTTCATTATTTTGTTTTTAAATGTTTTCAAATTCTTGCTCTTTCTCTTCTCCTTCTGGCACCCCTATGATTCAGATGTTAGCATGTTTGAATATATCCCAGAGGCTCCTTATTCTATTCTTGTTTTTTCATTCTTTTTTCTTCTTGCTCTTCTGATTAAATGCTTTTTTTCTTCCTTGTTATTATCCTACTAGACTTCTGGGGATATGTTTATTAATATAATGTGAGTAACTGTGTACATAGTTTCATACACAGTTTATTTACCTGTGTCTTTCAGATTTAGATGACTCTCTACCACAGACAACGTCCTCAGGGCTGGAGAGACCCAGGGATACTGACTTGTGTGTGTTTGTAGATTTTTCTTCATTTCACTTGATGCAATATTGATTTCTGCCTGGGTCTTTTTTATGCTGCTGCAGTACCCAATGATTTCTTCAAGCATCCTGATAACCAGTGTTTTGAACTCTGCATCTTATAAGTTGCTTATCTTGGTGTGGCTCAGTGGATTGGGTGTCACCCTGCAAAACAAATTTTTACCAGTTTGATTTCTGGGTTTTGGGCCAGGGCCCCAGATAGAGGCATTTGAGAGACAACAGATTGATGTTTCTCTCCCTCTGTCTCCCTCCCTTTCCCTCTCTCTAAAAATAAATAAGCAAAATCTTTTTTAAAAAAAAAAAGGTCATGCCACTTTTTCAGAGGGACTGTGATTCCCTCAAAAACCTAGAATGTCATCCCAGGACCCATTGCTTGCACTTCCTGCTGTCCCTGTAGTTAGAAGGGCTTCCCTCTGCAACCAGGGACCATCGAACCCCTCTCTGGTCACACTCAGTTCCCCAGCTCCCCAACCACAAACAGATGCATCAAAACCTGTGGTTCTTCTTGAGTCAGCTCGTTCCCTCAGGCCTTCCTGGCTGCTTAACCATCCTACTCAGCTGGCATCCTGGCTGACCAATGGAGCGGTTGTCCTGCTTGCTATCAAGGAAGACAAAGCCAAGGGCCCCGCCGAGGTGAGGAACGACGAAGCCCTCGTGACCTCCCGGGTGCTCTAAGACTCAGAGCGCCATCTCCTATCCTCCACCAGCAAGTATATGTATCTGCTGCTCCAGGTCGTCTCTGAGCGAATGTCCTCTCTACTAAATGACATCAGAAAATTTGTTTCAATACCTCTGAGCTCTGGATGCCCAGCTGGTAATTAGGAATAGTAAAACGTCCTCTCTTCCTACCTTGCAGGCAGTGTTGAATTAATAAAAATACAGCTTCAGAATTTCCTAACAATGCACTTAAAAATATTGTAATTGCTATCTTGGTTCAGACTATAGCTAAGCAATTCTCTGAATTGCTCCTCCTCCCCATCTCCTTCTTCCTTGCTATTGTTTCAGTGTAGCTACACATAAAAGCATTTTTTAATTTCTAGAGCAATCACTAAGGCCAGGCACCAGGCTCTCCTCCGGTCTCAGTGCTGGGTGAAAGGCATCACCCTCTCTCTGCTGTGCCCGCCTGCTCACTGCCCACAGTGTCCTCAAGCCCAGCCCCTCGGCCCTGTGCCCTGTCCCCCCCGCCCCACACGCCAGCTGATGGCCATCCCATCCACCTGCTCTGTTCCCTACATTTAGAGTACCAGGAGCACTGGTTTTACTTTGAAGCAAAATGGCAGTTCTACTTGGAGGAGAGAAAACTTAATGAAGACACTGAAAGTAAAGCTGCCTTTCCTGACCATTATGATGCAGAGGAGAGGGACAAGGTAAGCCTTCTTGGGGCAGCAGGGGACCAGGAGCTTTCGGGGTCCCACTCCCAATGGGGGGCCACACCCGGAAGCCACCCTGCACCTGCACTGTGATTGCCTCCCAGGCCCTGTGTCTACTGGGGCTGCCCCAAGCAGTAAAGATGGGCTGAGGGAGCAGCTGCATGTGGGAGGGACCATGGGAGACCTCACTGTCCCTCAGCCCTACTCAGACCGAATGTCACCTGGATCTGGTGTCATGACAGCCCTGTCACAGAATTCTCAATCCTTTTGCCAGCTCTATTTCTTCTCGTAGACCTTCTGGGTACCTGACACGCTGTCATGTGCCTGTTTGTCTAAGGAATGCCTGCCTGCGAAGGGCTGGGATATAAGAGCCATGTGGAGTGAGCCTTCCCGCTCGCTGCCCACCCCAGCCCCGGGCAGCGCCTGAACACAGGTGGTATTCCTTCAGTGCCCAGCGAGTGAGCGAACAGTCCCCGGAAGGACACGGGAGCTTGTGCTCTAACACTAACTGACGCGGTCCTGCGTTTGGCCCATGCCTCTGACCCATGGCTCTTTCCTCAGACCTACAAGAAATGGAGCTCAGAAGGTCGAGGGGGCCGAAGGGGCCATGATGCTCCCATGATTGCCTACGATGCTCTCCTTGGAGCCAGGAACAACTGGACGGAGCTCTGCCGCCGGGCCATGTTTCACGGAGGTGGGATTTCCTTCTTTAATGGCTCTGGACTTCCAGGAGGCCTACAACCCCTTCTCATCCCAAAGCGCCCTGTCGGGATGTCCAAGGCTTCAGGCATGAGGGATCCCCAGAAAGTGGGTCCTTCTGTAGGTGGGGCGCTGGCCCCAGTATTCTTGCACGTGGATATTCCAGGCTGCAGGCAGGTTACAGCACGGCCCTGGGTGGCCCTGTGACTCTGAGCTCAGAGAGAATGTGGTGTTCAGGGTCGCTGGGATGGAGGGCCCCTCTCCCCATGGCTGCTGGTTGACGAGCATGCAGACTCCGCTGGTGCTGGCCGTGCAGAGCACTAGTTACCTCGTCCATCACTTCTGCAGACCCTGCAGTCAGAGAGGTTGCACTTTAGAACCAGGTGGGCCTGGGTTCGAATCCAGTTCCAGGCCTGTCTCTCTGTGAAGGAAGAGGGTAAAACCCACTCACAGGGCTGTTGAAGCCGTTCAGTACGTGGTGCTGGGACTTCACCCCTGCGCTGTTGGGTAACAGTGCCCTTTGCTACAGGGCTGGGGAGGCTTGCCTCCCTCCCAGTGCCCGCTTTCTCCTAAGAGTGTAAAGAAGATGCCATGTGTATGTTACCTCCTGGTGGGCATGGATTCCACCAGTATTAGAGTGACTATTTTCAGAGGAGAGTGCTGTTCCCAGTGCTGTGATGGTTGAGACGTTAGTGCTTCCTGCAGGCCAACAGGAAGGCTTCTTCAAGAGCGTGGGGGAACCCACTGGGGAGGGTGAGCCCAGGAGAGAGCGATGGGAGCCAAGGGCAGCGGGTGGCCGTGAGCGTGTGAGAAGGGGACCTTCAGAGGGGCGCGGTCATGCGCACAGCCCAGCTCCCTCAGCAGAGAGCGGGAGGGAGGGCGCACAGGAATCTTCGTGAGGTGCTTGCAAGGGAGCCTGGCATGACTCTGGCCACCCTGGAGAGCCTGGAGGGGAGGACTCTGAGGAAGACTGTCCCCATGGAAGGTGGTCTCCCTGAGTACCCAGCCCCTTGGACGACAAAGGCATCTGCACACATCGTAAGTTGTCAGAGTGTTTGTGGAGGGAAGAAGGGAAAACACCTGTCTGCTTAATTGGGGACAGCAAAAGCTGCCCAGGACCCATATGGCGCGGCCCAGAGCAAAACTGGGGTTTGGCACGAGGGAGGGGCAGGAGGCTGAGAAAGCGCTGGCACTGCCTGCTGTAGAGCCATCAGCCCAGTAGAGTCTCTAAGATAGGCCCTTGGCAAGGATGCCCTGGTTAGTGTCAAGTTCACTGCGATGCACCATTTCCCACTCTGTCCTTGGGATCTCTGAGGACCCATGTTTCCATTCCAGGTGAGAGTGGGGCCACAGGGACCATCGCAGGCTGCCTGTTCGGACTGCTCTACGGCCTGGATGCTGTTCCCAAGGGCCTGTACCAGGAGCTGGAGCACAAGGAGGAGCTGCTGCGCCTGGGCGAAGCTCTTCACCACCTGTCCACAGAGGAGAAGTAAAGCCATTTCCCTTTCCAGGGAGCCCATTCCAGCTCTGGGTGCCCCGGGGGAGTCCACATGCAGCTCACCAGACTCTCAGCTTGCCGAGAGTCCGTGCCTAACTGACCATGCTTATAAAATACATTGTTTGTCCTAGAAGAATATTTTTCCTGTCCCGACCCAAATCTAGTGCATTATTGAGGTCACACTGGATTTGCTACCCTAAACCTCCACATACAGTGGTTGCAAAAAGTCTCCTGGACAATTGGTGTATTTTATTGTCGCATAACTAATACTGTTCGCTCATTCACTTCAACTAACCGCAGGGCTCTGCTCAGAGGGGCCTCCTCCATCCGCAGAAACTTCATCCCTGTCTGTTCCTAGCTCTTAGACATGCATTTCAACTACTGCCGCCACCTCGGCCACGCCCGTCCTCCTGGGCGTGGGCTGCTCGCGTGTTCTCACTGCTGTGTGTCCCCATCGAAGGACAGTCAGTACTGGTGCCTCCAGGATTCAGCCAAAAGCACTGCGTTTAACCTGCCAGCCTACGTTTTTAATCACACTAGATCTTTAAAACCAACCTTTTGGAACAACTAAGTGAGGAAAACAGGCAATAAAGGGTTCTTGTGCCAGCACCGCATCTTTCTTCTCTGTGGTCTGCAGCTGTCCCACTTGCGCGGGTCAGGAGCACGTCGCAGCGAGGGCCTGTGGCCCACTCCACCTAGATTCGCTGATAAGGAAACAGAGCTGTTCCCTGTGGCCAATGTTTCTCTCTCTGAGAATCCCGAAAAAGAGAACACTTGCTCTTGTTAAAAATAACCTTGGACACTATCTTTTCGAAGTAGCATCTGGTGTGAATAAAACAGCAGTTGGTGACTGATCTTTAACATGGCGCTTTGGCAGCTTGGCCGGGCTTATCTTGTTGATGGTAGCATTCTCTTCATTGAAAGCTTGCCTCTGAGCACAGCCAGGCGTGGTCCTCGAGCCTTCCGGATGCCAGTACTCAGGGAAGCTTGCTCGTGCTCGCAAATACTCAGGTGTTGACACCTCCTGGGACCACCTGGTCCCCCCAAGGCACCCTTACTCCCTTTCCTGATCTCCCCTGGTGTCACGGGCTATGGGAACAGGACAAGATATATTTTCAATAGAATACATCACTTTCTATTTCTTAGGAAAGTGTGAAGGCTTCCATCTTTGTTGATGAAAGAACCTGGGCCATTGTATACCAAGCATATTGCACCAAAGTGTTTTTCACTTCGGGTTTCTGAATAACTGAACTAACATTTGCTGCTACTGATGCTTTTCCATCAGAAGAGGCAGAAAGAGAGACAGAGTGGGTGGAGGGTTCTCACATCACCCCCCTCTACCACCCAGGGTCCAAACTGGGGCCAGTGGGGGTGGAGAAATTAACTGAGTGTTATCTTCCAGGAAAAGGAATCCAGTTAAGGTAAGCTGACACTTTTCTTGGACATACATAACACAACAGCTTACTGTTTTGAAGTGATATCCTGTTTCACCAGCTTATCCTAAAACTGGTACTTCCAATTCTGTCGAGCAAAAGAAAAGTAAGTCTCAAGTGAGCAAATTGCAAGTAGATTAGAAGAAGCTACTTGGTCTCCATCTTATTGACAATTTAGGAGAATTCAATCCATCCTTAAGAATCAGGGAGTGAGTCTATTTACGGATTGACTTTAAGTTAAAACACATAAAGAAAAATTCATAAATGTCATAAAATGAATGAAACTCTTTCCCTGTTTCATTTTCCCATTATAGGGAAGTGCGCAAGTTGAAAAGAAAAACAAAACCATAAAAAGTAATGAAGTGAATACCGTACCTACTTGAATTTTTAAAAATGTAATACTTGCTAATTTCATTTTTGTTATAAAAGTAATACACAACAGATTTTCACAAATTTCAATGCCATAAATAGTGCATGTGGAAAAAAGATTCTTCCAAACTCTCAACCAGACTCACATTACAGGTCCCAGAAAAAGCCATAGGTCATGATACCTTATGTCTCCTTCCAGAAATTTCCTCTACACATACAATCATGGGTTTATGTGTGTTGCATACTTGCATTTGTATGTTGTATGCACATACACACACAATTTCTCTCCACAAATAAGAATTATAGTATTCGTAATAGTTTCCTTTTGGCATTTTTCACTTAACTGAGGTTTTGGATATTTTTCAATATCAATACATATATATACCTCAGTCTTTTTAATTGTCACCTTATATTCCATTTACACATGTGCAATAATCTGTCAGATCCCTATTGATGTCGCCCTGAAGTTGCTTCTATTTCTTAGGTAGCATTTTTAAATGCTGCTCCTTATGCTAACTTCAAAATGTTGCTTCTCCATCTCTTCTGAAAAGAAATTAAAGTTAATAGCACAATAGTTTTTCATTCCAGGATGCATTTTTTTCATTTAATATTTCTAAAATTGAGACGCATCTTATATTTTATTGTGTTTGATAATTTAATTGGCAGAGTTTATTTTTCTTTTCCTGAGACTTACAAAGTAATGGCGCATCTTACAATCAATAGCACTTTAGACCCAAGAACACTAATATTAAACACCACATGAAATCACATGCCCTGGAACAACATTAGGTGCGGGGGTATTATTACCTCTTGCTCCCAGGTGGCCAGTAAGGACGACTCAGAGGCAGGCATGGGTCCCGGGATGTGACCTACCCTGTTTTCCTCCTCCATCTTTCTCCTCAGTCCCATCGCTGGCACAGGCCATGGGGATGTGAGGTCTGAATCTGAGGCTCTGGATGGACAGCGACCGCGGCTAGGAGATGTCATGGCTGTCAGTGAGAGTTCGCACCCTGGCAGCCACCTGTGTCCCCAGGGGTAGGCACACAGCTCCCATGGCTCCACTATTGGAACTGGTTCCCTGCACAGTTCAGGTTTTCAGACTTCAGGCTGATTTTGGTTTTGCATTTAGATTTCAAATCATTCTTTCCAACATTTTTGTAGCTGGAAGCCAGATCTGACGTAGGTTTGGCAGGTGTTGTCACTCCTTTCCGACAGCTAGGAGAGCCCAGCTAGGGGACCGACAGCTCCGTCACTTGACAAGGTCAAAAGAGCCCACTCAGAAAGTCTGGTGAGCACAGAGCAATGCCGAGCTGCCTGGGTGCCCAGTTCTCTGGTGCCGCCCACCATTGCTAGATGTGTATTCCCTAAACCTCCATGTTCCTTGCAGGAGGCACAGAGATGGGAACTATTACTACCCCTGTTCTGTAGAGATTCAGGGGGTTGGAGTCGTTAGTGAATGAAGAGTGGGAATTTAAACCCAGCCTGGCTGACAACCCACCTTCTGCCTCTTAACCTCCTGTCGGCCCCCCTAATTCAGCAAGACTGGACCACAGCCCGGAACCTCCCAGGGAGATTCCTCAGTGAGTTATGAAACCCCAGCACCTCAAACAGACAGGACTGGAAAAATTAATCAAATGTCAACTGGTGGAACTGCAAATGCCCAAATTAATATTCCCTCCAAACATCCGGGTTTTAAAAACTCCATCATTGAAATTCATCCCAAAACTCCTCTAAATGAGAATAACTTTTAAGTGACAGTGCAGGCACTGTGACTACTTAAGTTAAAATCCCTCACGTGTTGACTGATTTCCAGTTATCAAGTAGAAATATAGTGTAAGCACCCTCCCAACGTTACAGGGAAGAACTAGCGTGGGAAGGAAAATGGGGCTCCCGGTCAGTTCCGTGGACCCGGTCACTGAACAGAGACGGCGAGCCAGCAGATGGGGGCTTAAATACGTGCGACGGGAAGAACAGCAGCGCTGGCAGCAGGTGGCTGGCCACGACTCCATCTGAATGGGCACAGCGGCACCGTGATAGTGCCCACGCCGTAGGGAAAAGGATGATGCTGGGCTCACAGCCCTTCACACGGCCCGAGGGCAGCGCCTCTGCCTCAACAACCACCCCAGCCACCGCCCCTCAGCCACGGGGGCATCACACCAAGAAGGTGACCCAACGCACATGGGGCCTCCTCTGAGCCGGAAGCTCCCCTGGTGTAGACAGCTTCCTGTCATCCCATACGCCTGAGAAAACCCAGAGCACCCGTGTCCTCCCTGTGGCACCAGGCCTACGGGTGTTAGCACACTGTCGGGTCGCAAATGTCACCGCTGACCCAGGGCTTATCTGTGCTTTCAGGATCCTGGAATGCACTGGTCGCTCCATGGCTTTGCTTCCTTCCTGCCCCATCCTAATTGTTTGTTTTCAAGTACTTCAAACGCATAAAAGGTTACAAAAATGCTCAAAAAACTCCCATGTTCCCTTCACCCAGCTTCACCAACTGTTAACACTGGGCTATGTTTGCTTTATCATGTTCTCTCCCTCTCACTACACACACAGAGATGGACACACACACACAGATACATACACAGACACACACACAGAGGTGTACACACACAAAGAGAGGTGTATGCACTCAGGTACACAGAGTATACACGTACAGATACATACACAGACATATAGAGATCCACACACAGACATGGACACAGACACACACAAAGAGGTACACACACGCACACACAGCAGTAGTTGGAATTAGGTGTGAGAGGAGTGTCTCAGGAATGCTCTACTTACTTATTAACTCTCAGGGCCTGGAACAGTATTCAGTGTTCAGGGGACCTCAGTCAGCCTGGGATGGGCAGACACCCCTTTATCCGCCATCGCCAGAGTCATGCCTGGGAGCTTCCGGTGCCTGGCCATGGGGTGTCCCAGCCCAGACAGCCACCCGCCATTTTTTAGCCTAATTAGTTTCCAGGAAAATGCAGAGGTTCAGGTTTTCTGATTGATTCATTGGCACAGTTAGCTACTTAGTCAGCAACAAAAAATATGGAATAGTCAAAAGACATATAGTTAATGTGCTTTACTATAAAAAGTTACTGTTAAAATGACACTTACAAATTACGATTTACAGTCGACATTGGAATGGGCTGATGAGCTCGCTGCCATTAATAGCCGTGTGGGCTGGCTCGCAGCTGCCTGCC